TGTCCTCTCGGGTTGCCATGAGTGAGAATTAACTCAATGGCAGTGAGTTTGGTTTAATGGTTTTTGAGGTATTTTGAATCTGTTGATTTATATGTATATGTGTGTGGTCATGTGTATATCAAAAAATATCGCTACTAAAGCATAGAAACCTTTTTAAATAAATCATTTTATTGGGGGCTCATACAACTCTTATCACAATCCATACATACATCAATTGTGTAAAGCACATTTGTACATTCATTGCCCTCATCATTCTCAAAACATTTGCTCTCCACGTAAGCCCCTGGCATCAGATCATTTATCCCCCTCCTTTCCCGCTACCCCTTCCCTCATGAACCCTTGATCATTTATAAATTGTTTTGTCATATCTTGCACTTTGCCTACTTTTCTGTTGTCCGTCCCCCAGGAAGGAGGTTGTGTGCAGATCCCTGTAATCGGTTTCCCCTTTCTATCCCACCCTCTCTCGACCACTCTCACCACTGGTCCTGAAGGGATCATCCGTCCTGGATTCCTTGTGTTTCCAGTTCCTACCTGTACCAGTGTACATCCTCTGGTCTAGCCAGACTTGTAAGGTAGAATTGGGATCATGATGGGGGTGGGGTGGGAGGAAAACTTTTTTATTAAACAGAAATATCAAAATATGAAACTATCGTTTCTCAGCGTATCTTCCATCTAAGTCTACTCTTCTTTTTGTTTCTTTGTTTGTAATGAGCTTGTATGTCACTAAAGACTCCAAGTCGACTTCAGTTTTTCACCTTTCCTCCTTTTTTAGCCTCTCAGACCAATATTTAGATCTGGGGGTAAGAAATCTGAAGGGGTCTATATACTTCCGAAGGCAGTCTTTCCATCTCTATAATCCTCCCCTGAAGAATTACGCACTCTTTCACTTAAACTACTTCAAATAGTTTTGACATCTGTGAGGGATTCATATCATACTTCTTTTAAATGTTCTCTGAATTTTGGGAACAAAAAGAAGTCTGAAGGGGCAAGATCAGGGCTGTAGGAGTATAAGATTTCCCTTGCTTTCCATGAAGACGGAGGTGTATTACAACAGGAAAAAATTCCACAGGCTCATTCCTCATTCCTGGCTTTTTTGATCACCAATGGAGTTTTCAATATTCGTCAAGCTTCACAATAAGTCCCCTTGTCATCTTGTGTACTTTGAGGTGGGTTAACCAGCCTTGAATTTAACTGGCCTAGCCTATCCCCTCTGAAGCCACAGTTTTGATCAAACCTTATTTTTGAAGGTACTCTCATGAGACTAAGACAGGTATATTCCTGAGAAAACTTGTCTGCAGCTTTACACTGATCACAGACATGTTTACTATGTGTTGGTTGGAATAAACCTGTGTGCGCATGAACTGGAATCCCAGTAGCAATACTTTTTGACTGGTACATGTGTATTTTTTTAATATGTATATGGTTTATTTCTCTCCTGCGTACCATTTTGAGTGCAGAATTGGTATTATGGCTTCTTTAGGAACTTATGTTTACTCTCTCTTACTGTTTTGTAATTCCTGGGACATTGCCCTGGTGGCATGATTCAAGCTGGTTCACTACCTTATCTCCTGTAAGATAAGCCCCTTCCCTTTGATGTCTCTACATAGAAATTGCACACATCACTTCTGTTCACTTTCCATTGACCAGAATGTCATATGTGGCACTTCTAGTTCCAAAGAACATTGACGATTTTGTTTTTTATTCTTGTCACTACAATGAATCAAGTAGCCATTAAATTAAAAACAAGCAAACCCACATAAAAAAACCCTCATGTGTTATTACTGCTACAGAAGAGGAAAATAGGTATTGGGTAAAAGCTAGGAGTCTGTCACAAGGTCTTTACATTTTGTACATCAATATTAATTAATATCTTTCTTTTGCATGTTTTTCTATCGTCAAATTTACTCAATTCAAGTTATTTTTGTTTTACCCGCTCTAGAAAATAAACCTCGTCTTCTACTGACTTTAGATGGAAGATTTGGAAGGCTAACTGATTTTTAAATGCTTTTAACCTAACCTGGATTTTTCAGTCTCATCGTCATCTCAATTCCTATAGGTACCTAATACAACCAGTTCTTAAGACTTTTGTGGTGTCTGTATTGTTGACATGGTTGCCATCTTGATTTGTATAGCATTGGGAGTTCTCCTTTCTCTACTAGATCAGTTACCTTTTGTGCATCTCCATCAGCTTCCCAAATTTTGGTGCTATTGTCTCCTCTCTGTTCTTGTGGGTTTATACCTTAAAAGACAGACATTTTTTCATTGTTAAGTAGAATAGTTTTAAGAAAGAATGGATGTAACTGTATGAGTTCAATCTACAATTTTTAACTGGAAATCCTCCTAATCCTTGTTAAATATTATTTTATTTTTTCCCTCAAAAAATAAAGTTCCATGCAACCACGAGGTGTCGAAGGGATCAGGTGTAAGGCATCATCAGAACAAAAAATCTTACCATAGTGAATGATGGGGGGAGTGCGGAGTGGAGATCCAAAGCCCATTAGTAGGCCACTGGAGATCCCCTTGCAGAGGGGTCTCGGGGAGGAGATGAGCCAGTCAGGGTGCAATGTAACAATGATGAGAAATACAACCTTCCTCTAGTTCCTAAAGGTTTCCTCCCCGCCCCCACTACCATGACTCGAATTCTATCTTGCAAGACTGGCTAGACCAGAGGAGGTACACTGGTACAGATAGGAACTGAAAATACAGGGAATCCAGGATGGATGAGCCCTATAGGACCAGTGGTGTGAGTGGCAAAACAGGGAGGGTGGAGGGAGAGTGGGTAGGAAAGAGGGAACCAATTGCATGGAACTGTGTGTGGCCTCCTCCCTGGGGGACGGACAACCGAAAAGTGGATGAAGGGAGAAGTCGGACAGGGCAAGATATGACAAAATACCCATTTGTAAACTATCAAGGGCTCATGCGGGAGGGGAGAGCGGGGAGGGAGGGGAAAAATGAGGACCTAATGTCGGGGGTTTAAATGGAGAGAAAATGTTTTGAGAAACGATGTACAAATGCGCTTTACACAATTGATCTGTGTATGGATTGGGATAACAGTTGTATGAGCCCCTAATAAAATGTTAAAAAAAACAAACAAACAAACAAAAAATAATAAAGTTCCATTTATTCCCACTGTTTATGAAATCTTGATTTCTATTTAAAGTACAAAGATCTTTGAATGGGCCTTTTCCAGTTCTAATATACTATGATTCTTTTATTTATGCTATCATTTATTTAACAAGTTCATTTTAGACAATTAGTGGAAGTCAGAGAATTTAACTGTAAGCAATACAGAAAGTCACATGGAGTCTATACATTTAGAAAGGAACAATAATAAGATAATAAGTAACTTTGGATTTTTAGAAATATAGTGGAGGAAATTACCAAGAGGAAGCTAATTTTGATGGGGTGATCACATAGCGCTTCTGTGGGAGATAATATTTGAGATGAAGCCTAAAGAATGAGTGGAAGCCAGTCATTCAAAGTAGTTGAAAAAGAGCTTTCTACGCAGCGAATGTTAAGTGTGCTCCAGTCGGTTCTGATTCATAGGGACCCTATGTTGCACAGAAGGAAACAGTGCCCATTCCTGTGCCATCCTCACAGTTGTTATGTTTGAGCTCATTGTTCCAGCCACCAGTGTCAGTTATCCATCCTGGCAACAATCTTCCTTCTTGCTGCCCCTCTGCTTTCCTAGGCAGTGGGGCAAGTGCAAAATGGCTGGACAATCTGAGGAACAGAAGGAAGATCCAGTACGGCTGGAGTCTGACAAATCAAGGGAACAGGAAATAAGATCCCTGTTGTGATCCCTGTGGGCTGGGTCGTGGTGGTACTAAGGATGAGGATAGAAGTGTGAAGGAGGCAGATATTTCAGCCAGCCTGTTGCCCTTTACTTATGTAACTACTGGAATGGAAGCACCGTTTTCCATGGCTGACTTATCTTGCAACTTGCTGAGGAAGTCACTTTCCTTGAACTCTTTTTTCCCTTAACAAAAGGTACTAAAATACACCGATCTCAATAATGTGGTCGAATAGATTAATAAAATGGCTGAGATCTTTAGAGCGTTTAAACACAGTACCCTCGCATTGAGTAGGTACCCAATATATCCTATCTCCAAGACTACACGAAAAGATTTGGGAACCAGTCTGATTTGGAGTCTGGGCAGGGCCGAAGAGGATGGCGTCAGGGGATTGGGCCAGTACAAAAGGGGCAAATCCACCGAGCGGGGCCAAGGCCGTCCCGCGCAGCTCGAAACTTCGAAACAACCGCGGTAGCTTCATCTGCAACCAATCCTAGAACGGCATTTCTTCGCGTCATTTGTTGCTAAGGCCCAGAGCGACGCGTCTGTCACGAAGATCCGTTCCAGCCGTTGCAGCTGTACGCGTGCTCAACTCTTGCGTGTCCCATCCGTTACGGCAGCGGGTCTCGGTCCGCAGTTGGAGATTCCTGGCCAGCAGACCTTCGGATACTCGCTCCAAACATGCAGAGGAGCGTCAGGTTTCCTTTTTGTGGAAGCTGCTGACCGGTGCCCGATCAGAACTCGCAGTCCTAAGATTCTGGTTCTTAGGTGTCTTGCTAGAGAAGCAGGACGTTGCTTTTTGCGCGAAGGAAGGCGAGCCAGGAAGGGAAGGTATTCCACTGAGCCATCCATAGTGGGCTGAGCCTGGCTCTTTAAACCTGAGGGGGAGGGTCCGGAAGTGGATGGGCGGGGCCAAAGGCCTGGGTTTATAAGAGAGCCTCTGCCGCGCGGGATCTCTAATCTGCCATTTTCTACCCTTAAGTCTCTAGGTATCCCAAGGTCCCTCTGTTTTCCTTCCCAGCTTTGTTCCACTCGCTGCTCCGCCACCTCAGGGGAACGATGGCCGCAGAGTGCACAGCCACTGCCGCCATCGCTGCGGAGCTGGTTCCCGCCGACAAGTAAGCTGGGCCGTGGGGCTCCTGAGGCACTGACCAGAGCGCGGGAGGGGACGGCAGCCAGGGCTTCACGGGAGGGGCAGGCCGGAGGATGGGCGGTCTTCCCTTCGATGAGGCACCGTCGCTGTTCGAGGTGGCCCGGACGCTAAAGCAGGCTGCCTCATGCCAAGAGCCTCGCGTTTCGGATCTAACTAGTTGGCTGGCGCCCCCTGCCCCGCTTTTCGCGGCCGCCATCTTGCTGGGGGCCTCGGCCACTGTTCCCATCGTCTGCCCCTCTCCTTCCTCCCCTCGCTTGGGGCTGTCGTCTGGAAGGTGGCGCCCTGCTGAGCTGGCTTTTCCCTCACGCCCGTACCGCCATTCTGAAGCGGCCCTGCGACAGGGCCCTGCAAACCGCCTGGGAAAACTCCCGACAGAATTGGCGCCAAAAAAAAAAATTTAAGCACGAGAGGGGACTGGACCCGTGGGGTCCAGAGTGGGCGGGCTCTCCAGGGGGCGGGGCCTCGTGCCGGCTGGCGCTTCCCTCCGCCTGCTCTGGGGCAGGGGGCGGGGCTCGAGGAGGCGGGAAAACTCCATTGTCTGGGGCCCCGGCGGCGCCGGGGCGAGCTTTGGGCTTTCGCGGTGGGGTGCTGCCCCTCGAGGTGTCTTCAGCCCTCAGGCTGTGGGGCTGGTTACTTTACCTTCCGACTCCCAGCGAGCCTGAGCTGCCCTGCCAGTGGCGCCGAGCTTCGGAATTGTTCAGACTTTAGAGGTGGTGGAGGTGGTAGTCTCAGTGGCTTCATGGAGACGTGGACGCGGTGCTGCTTGATCGGCAATGTTTGGTTGCTGAGAGTGGACAGTCGTCTGCGGGGCTGAAGGGGACTGACCAGAGGGGATGTTCAAACTGGCTTTGAAAGCGGCAAAGTGCCGCTCTGGGGTTAAGTGGAGGCAAAGCGCTAACGTCTGTATGTCTGGCTTCTTAATCTTTCTGAATTTCACAAAAGCCTGGTTTTTTTTTTATTTCTCTTGTGTGGTTTAGAAATTAGCTGCCTCCTCTCACTAGGGAGTTGCAGCTGTGAGATTTTTATGCTTTCCTGTTGGTTTACACTGTGAGAATGTTAGTGTACATTTATAGGGTAGCAGTGTTTTCTTAATCCGTTAAGTGAGGAAACGCAAGATTAGGATGTTGACCCACGTGTATTTCATGAAGTAAGATTGGAATGGAGAAATTATTTTCAAATTAATAAGTGGTTCAGACGCCTAGTTAAATCCCAGTATTTGAGATTTTAGCTTTCATTACCTATTGAAAAGCTCACCTGGGAGGAAATAACTTGAAAACCGAATTAGTCTAGGAAAACAAAGGCCATATGTTATGTAAGTGGGGAGGCTGTCCAGAGTTAAAGCTGTGTTTGTGAAGAAATCAGTTTGAGTTTGAACTGTTTGAGTATGAGTGCACATTATAAATCAGGTATAATCATTTAAACAAATTGCATGTAAACTTCTGAATATGTAGAGAGAGAAATGGGCTGAAAACCCACGCACCCCCAGCTCAGAGTTGGTTATGATATCAGCTTGATGACTTACAGGTGATGATGGAGCTGGACAAGCTTTGTTTCAGTGAAGTGTTTGGTCTAGGCTTTTCCCCCTCTATTAAATAACCTTGCCAGAGTGATCAGTTTGTCTAAATGTTAAGTCAGTTCTTAACATTATTAGCTTGTAAAACCAAAACCAAACTCATTGTCATCAAGTGAATAGAGGCTGACTCTCATAGGAGTAAACTGGCCCTGTGAGTTTCCAAGACTAACTTTACTGTGGGAGTAGAAAGCCGATTGTCTAGTGTCCAGTGGAGTGACTGGTGGTTTCGAACTGAAGAGCTTGTGAACTCCAGCCTGTGCATAATAACTATGCCACCAGGGCTCCTTTTTATTAAGAAGACAAATCACAACTGAACCAATAGGTAACATAAATGGAGAAAAGGTTGAAGCTGTCAAAGATTTCACCTTGCATGATACACAAGCAATGCTCATAGAAGTAGCAGTCAGGAGAATTAATAAACAACAAAAAACCCTGATTGTATTAGGTAAACCTGCACAAAACATCTTCTAAAGTGTTGCAAAACAAAGAAGTTACTTTGAGAACTAAGATGCATCTGACTCAGGTCATGGTATTTTCTTTGCCTGGTATGCATGTGAAAGTTGGACATTGAATACATGGAAGACTAAAGAAGAATATTGAAAGTGCCATGAACTGTCAAAAGAACAAACATCTGTATTGGAGAAAGTACAGCCAGAATGCCCCATAGAGGCAAGGATAGTCACACGTACTTTGGTTGGACATGATGCCAGGAGAGACCAATCCCTGGAGAAAGACATGTTGTTGGGTAAAGTAGAGAGGCAGTGAAAAAGTGGAAGGTGCTCAGGGATATGGATTGACTGGCTGTAACAATGGGCTCAAACATAACAATTTTGAGGATGGAGCAGTGCTGGGCAGTGGTTGCTCAGAACTGACTCAATGGCACCTAACAATGAGTTATTTCTAAACTAATTCTTTTTTTAAAAAAAATAATTAGGGGCTCATACAACTGTTATCACAATCCATACATATATCAATTGTGTAAAGCCCATTTGTACAATCATTGCCCTCATCATTCTTGAAACATTTGCTCTCCATCTAAACTAATTCTTAATCTATTGTCTAATTGCTAAGGATTTAAAAAATTAGTTTTATTGGGTTATAATTAACACATACCATTCAATAGTTAAGTCATATTAAGAAAGGTTAAGGTTTTTTTTTGTTTTCCTTTGAAGTATGTAATTTTGTTTTGGGGTTCCCCCCCTTTGAAGTATGTCAGTTTGTGTTGTGATAGGAAGAAGAATGTTCAATTGGAAAGAGGAAGTCTTAAGATTTTTGGGCTTAGCTGTCTTGTAATTCTTGAGCTGTTTATTCCTTGCTTCAGAAGAGAAAATGTCAAAAATGAGTAGCTTACCTCAGTAATCCTAAAGTTCTGGAATTTATTTCTGTTCCTACAAGGGCTTTGTATTGCTTTCATCAGTATTACTGTGGGACCTCATGTTGGTTCTTAGTATTTTGCTATTCGTAATAAAATTAATCTTATGTGAGTTAGTTTCATGGGAGTATGGTGAATTCATGTCATTGTAATTGAGATATAGTTGTATGAAAGACTTAGCCAAATACTTAGGCATGTACTTTTGGGGGATTTGGAGGACATATGTCAGTATATTAACTCAAATGTGTAAGTGGAAGGAGGGTCCTGTTGGTGGGGTTGGGGTCGCAAAAGGGGATTGTACAATTTAAATTGTATTCAGTTAATTTTGATCTTTAATATGCTCAAGGTACTTAAAAGAGCAAAATAAAAAAATCTTTGTTTTAAATTTGGTGAATATTTACAAAACAGTTTTCCATTCAACAATGCATACATATTTTGTTACATCTAATTCATTGCAACCCCCTCAATGCAGCACTAAGCCCACTTCTTCCCGGTGCTTCCCATTCCACTTCTCTCTCGTCTCTCCTTATAACCCTTCTAAACATTGTCCTTGGCCAAATATTGCCCCTTTGGTCACTCGCAAATGGTTGCTTATTCTAAGGTGTTTGGACCTAAGTAGTGTTACTATTCCCCTTATAGACTTGTCTATTGTTTGGGTGAAAATTAAGCAACGGGAGTACCTTTAGTTCCATACCTGAAGGGTAACATACCTAAAGGGCCACAGACTTAGGGGAGTCCACCATCCCCAGTCTTATCTGACTAGTAGGACGAGTCTCTCGAGACTGAATTTTGTTCTATAGTTTCTCCCTACTCTTTCCAAGACCTAATGTGATCCTTTTCACAGCACATTTGTTTCTTTTAATTTTTAAATTTTAATAAATTATTTTCTTGGGAGCTCTTATAGCTCTTACAACAATCCATACATTCATTTGTATCAAGTAGATTTGTACATATGTTGCCATCCTGTTCAAAACATTTTCTTTCTACGTGAGCCCTTGGTATCAGCTCCTCTTTTTTCCCCTCCTTTTTCACACTCCCACCCTCATTAACCCTTGATAAATTATAAATTATGTATTATTATTTTCATATCTTACACTATCCACTGTCTCCCTTCACCCATGTTTCTGTTGTTCGTCAGCCGGGGTGTTGGGAGGAGTTAAACTCTGATCAGTTCCCCCTCCCACTACCTTCACCCTACCCTCATGGTATGGTTTCAACCCATCCATTGCAACCCCCTCTATGTCCAACCTTTTCTCCTATTTTCTCCCTCTGTCTTTGTGTCCATTTTCTCTTAGCCATCTAAACTCTCTATCTTTGGGTAAACCTGCCCTTTTGCTATTAAATGTTTGAATATTCTTACAGTGGTAAGTTCGATTCCAGACCTGAAGTGTGACTGAAGGCCATAGTCTTGGGAGTCCTACCAGTCTCTTTATCAGACCTGTAAACCTGGTCTTTTATAATTTGAGTTTTGTTCTTTTTTTTACTCTTAACTTTTTAGAACAGTGGTTTTCAACCTGACTGATGCCACAATCCTTTAATACAGTTCTTCATGTTGTGGTGACCCCCAACCATAAAATTATTTTCGTTGCTTCTTCATAACTAATTTTGCTACTGTTATGAATTGGGCGACCCCTATGAAAGGGTTGTTTGGACCCCCACAGGGGTCTTGACCCACAGGTTGAGAATCATTTGTTTAGAACCTAATGTGATTTTAAAAAATCATTTTATTAGGGCATATACAACTCTTATTACAGTCCATACTAATGTGATCTTTTTCAGAGCAGTTTGGTAGTGGTAGCTGGGCACCATTTAATTCTTTTGATCTCAGCTGTGGAGACTGAGGTTCATGTGGTCGGTTAGTTTCTTGAACTAATTGTTTGCGTATGCTTGTGATTTTCATCACTCTTTCCTCTGAATGTGTAGATACCAATAGTTGCAATTTACATGGTTGCTCACAAGCTTTTAAGATCCTAGTCACCATTCACTGAAGGTGTTTAGTTTTGTCTAAAAGGTTTTCCCAGTTTTGTCCCCTGTGTCCTCTACCTTATTCATGGATATCTGATTTTTTTTTTAATCTGACTTCTTTTGACTATACAAACAAGAACTCACTGCCCTGTAGAACAGGTTAGAGCTGCCCCCTTTGAGTTTCCTGAGACCATAACTCTTTACAGGAGTAGAAAGCCTCATCTTTTCTCCTCCAAGCTCTTGATGGTTTTGAGCTGCCCAGTGTACACCCCCCAGTACACTACTAGGGTTCTTTACACAAAGGAGAAGCATTCATTTTCACACCAGCCCCAAACCAGTTGTCACAATGTACTACCTCCCTCCA